CACTGGCTTTTTAATAGGAACTGACTCTTAGGATGAGATTTTGGCTGTGGGATGTTATTGGATGAGTACCCTTGCTGGTTATTTGTGGATCAATCATGACATCTCTGCTAAAGAAAGTGTAGTGAATCTAGTGATGATACCTCTGCGTGTGGTGTTTGCGAGACATGCTAAATCATTATGACTGAGTGAATGACTGAATGCATCAATAAACTGGACAGGCTGGTTGCAACTAGAAACCACTTTGTTTTGTGTTGTCTGTATCCAAAGTGCTTGAAGTTTGTGTCCTGATTATAACATATATGTGTATTCCAATACTACCTTACTACCTTTGTTTACATCATCTCCACACAAATATTTTGAAACATGTCAGACATTGCAGACTGGTGTGATAACCTTAACTTAGGAAGTTTAATGGACAACTTTTGCATTTTTTTGGCAAAATCTACCTCCTTGGCCAGTGCTAGGCATGCTTTCATTGCATTTCACATGGTTGGTTCTTTCTTGTTGCCTTGTTGTGTTTTATGCTTGCTGAGAGATTTTAAGCCAGAGATAGGTTCAAAACAGCTTTATTAATTTTTTCTTCTGGTTATCTGTACAAACCGTCTGTAGTTGGTGTGCCTATTTATGCATGATTTGAGCCTTTTATGTTTAATATCTTGTTGCATTCTAATTTTGGATATTTTCAATGGAAATTCTACATGTGATTTCCTATTTAAGAATGATTTATCTTGTTGACAGAGCCACTGTCAAATCTGGTCAGATACCAAGAAGGGAAGCTAGGCATGAGGGAAATATCTAGAAGAGTAATTTCCAGTTTGTCTGAGAGTTCATGGAATTCAGTGGATCACCAACCAAAATCTTGGTCTGACACGCACATGCTAGCAGCAGCAAATAATATGAATGGAAACAGGACCAATATGAATTTGATCCACCATGAAAGCAGTCTGTTCTCAAGCTCACTGTCAGAAATATTTAGTAGGAAGCGTAAGATATCCTCTTTATGCATTTTGAGCTGTATGTTCTTGACATGTTTGCTCTGTTCCTCTCAGATTTCCTAAAAGAAGATACTTTATTGTACTTAATGACTGATGGTTTGACAGATAACCCTTTTAAATTGACAATGTAGTGCTCCAAACATTAATGGCAAACATAAGTGTAGAAGTACAAAAATGTTTTTTTTTTTTTTTTTTTGGTTATTATTTGTCTCTTTGTGTCCCAGGCATTTCCTCTTAAACATTAATATCAGAAAATCAAGCATTTTGTGTAAAGAAATCAAAAATAGTTTTCAAAATCATTCTATTTGCTCAATTTCCTGTCTGATTTGTGCTTTATTTTTCTTATCTTTATGTAGTGCAATTATTGAGGAATGATGCTCCAGCTCATCTACCTAGCTTTAAAGTTTCTTCGGACTATGAGGAAGAACCTTTAGGATCCCCTGAAGAAATTGAGGAGCAGACCATTGGAAATCTCCTTCCTGATGAAGATGATCTTTTTTCTGGAGTAATGGGACTTGATACTCCTGCCAATAGGGGTGATGAATTAGAGGATTTTGACCTATTTAGCAGTGGTGGGGGTATGGAATTGGAAGGTGATGATTGTTTAGGTGTGGGTCAAGGAAATTCAGATATTGTACGAGCATCTAATGTTTCAATTGTTGGTGGACACCCTTACAGTGAACATCCTTCTAGAACACATTTCCTGAGAAACATTAACAGTAACGTTGAAGATTCTGAACTCAAGGCACTTTTTGAGGTTTGTATTCCTTCATTTTTTAAATATTTGTTGGAATCTCTATCTCCCCTTATGCCCTGTAGGAACATTTTTAAGCAAATTGGATTGATGGTTGTTTGCTGTCAGCAATATGGAGATATCTGTACTCTCTATACAGCCTGCAAGCATTGTGGTTTTGCCATGATTTCTTATTATGATATAAGGGCAGCCCAAAATGCAAAGAGAGGTCTCCAAACTAAGCCATTGAGGCATAGGAAACTAGATATACATTATTCTATTCTAAAGGTTGTCATTGCTGTTCCTAGCTTCATTTATTTGGTTCCTTCATTTTGGTGTAACACTTTGTCTGATGAATTTTTTCTTTGCTTGATAATATGACAGGGTAATCCATCTGAAAAAGATGTCAATCAGGGAATGCTGGTGGTTTTCAATCTTGACACTTCTGTTTCAACCAATGAGCTCCAACAAATTTTTGGTGTTTTTGGAGAAATTAAAGAAGTATGTGGTTCAATGGATTTCCGTAGGTTTACATTCACTTTTAAGAGAGTGATGAGTAATGTGGTTAACTCTGCTATGCAGATCCATGATACTTCACCCCAGCAAAATGACAAATTCATTGAGTTTTATGATGTTAGAGCTGCTGAAGCTGCTCTTTGTGCATTGAATAGGTGTGACATTTCTAGGAAGCAGATCAAAATTGAACAAAGTCCTCCAGGGGGACAGTATTATCATTTACCTGCAGTATTTTCCTTTCTTTTTCACTGTTTTAGGGAAGTGGATTCTAGTTTTTAATAGGGAGATGAGAGCTTTATGCTGTTTCCTTGTTCTGGTCCTGGATGTGGAAAGGTTTCTATTACCCCTTATACAATGGTATGATTTTACTTCCATTGTCATATTCTGCTGTTAATGTTGAACTATCAATAACACAATCAATTCTTTGGGGGCCATATAATATGCAATTAGTATAACTGCGCTGTTTCCGTTTACCTTTTATCTTTTTAATTTTACCTCTAGAAGTAGTAGATATATGAAAAGGATTTCCTTTTGCAGTTTTATGTAACTTTCAGACCCAAAGGCAAGATGAATCTAATAATCTCTGTCAAAGTTTTTGCATGACTTGATGGCAGGACACGTGGGTATGGTTTGCCTATTAATTTTTTATTTATTCTCATCAATTATTGGTCATTTATTGTAAGCTGTTTTCTTAGTACTTATTTTCTGTTATCTCATTATCATTTACTTAAACAGCTGGGGTAACTGCCTCTGACTACATGGATAATGGATCTAGCCTCATATTACATAATGTTATACGGTCACCTATGAATACATTTATTGGACCTAGTTGAAGTTCTAGTGTTCCAATCAACTTGCCTTCTCCTGCAAGAGTGGCATCCATTAGCAACCAATTTAACCTTCAGGAGCCAAACCACACTCTGGATGAAATGAAGTTTGGGAACCAGTGCATTACAAGTTTCCATCCCCATTCCTTTCACAAGTATCATGATAATTTAGCCAAAAGCCTTCCATCCAACTCCTCAAGCACCATTCCGGACATGTTTAGTAGTTTTGCTTCCCAAATGACTGATGGACTTGATAATAGGAGCATTCATGGAGCATTCATGGAGTGAGCACAAATGGGCACCTGATAGAACCTAATGGAGGGGGTAAGTTATCTTGGTTAGGTTTTACCATTGATAATTTTCACATATTTGCATCATTTGTGACAACTGAGACGGAGAAAGTAACTAGAATTTTTAAGAGAACTCAACTGCTAGTATTCTTTGAAGGTGTTTAGTTGACTTATTAGCTGATTCATTCTTTCTAGTTTTTGGATCATCTGGTAATGGAAGCTGTTTGCTTCATGGAAATCATTATGCATGGAACAACTCCAATTCACATCAGCAGCACCCTTCAAGTGCCAGGATTTGGCCCGATTCACCCTCCTTTGTCAATAGTCTTCAGCATATGCTTGCATTTCCTAGAGTACCTCCTGTTATGCTGAATGCAGCATCACCTGTACACCACAACATTGGGTCGGCACCACCAGTTAATTCACCAATATGGGACAGGCGACATGCCTATGCTGGGGAATCTCCTGACACCTCTGGTTTTCACTTGGGATCTCTAGGGAGTGTTGGATTTCCTGGTACTTCTCCATCACACCCTGTGGAAATTGCTTCTCACAACATTTTCTCACGTGCTGGTGGAAACAATGGTGTGGTACGCTCTCCTCATCAAATGTGTCACCTTTTCCCTGGAAGAAACCTTGTCGTATCCATGCCAGGTTCTTTTGAGTCTCCCAACGAAAGTGTGAGAAATTTCTCACACCGTAGAAATGAATCAAATTCTAATAATGCTGATAAGAAACAATATGAACTTGACATTGACCACATCATACGTGGGGAAGACAGCAGAACAATGTCGATGATAAAGAATATTCTGAACAAGTATGTGAATGATTTTCCTGTTACACCAGCTATTTTATTCTTTATTTACTTCATCTTCCATGTTTCTAGTTATATGTTTGTCATTTGATTTCAATATTTTTCTTTATGTTGAAACCATCATATGATGGAACATTTTTTCCTTCACTAAGGTCATGTCTAGTTATACATTCCTAACTTCCTATGAAAATTTCTCAATTTTTAGCTTGTTTTCAGAGTTTCACCTAGGAATAGCAATTCCACCAATGAAAACAAGCCCTAAAGGATCTAGAACCTGTAGATGTGACTACGACTAATAGCAAGTGACTTTGAAATCACAATTAATATTCCCTTAGTTTTGTTTATATTTTGACAGTATTGTGTCACATTTTAATGACCATAGTCTATAATGTTGTTAAAGTAAATCCAGTGTTGGTGGTGAATGATTGATCATTACATCATATGTGATACTACTCCTGTTGTTTGAGGCCAAAAAACCAAAGGACACTATTCTGTTATGGATACTTTTGGTTCTGGTTTCCCCTTTTTCCTTATCTATTTCTTTGTCAATCTGATAGGCCTTTTTATGCAGGTATACCTCACAGATGGTTCTGGCTAGGATAAATGAGCACTGTCAAGGAACCTATGATTTCATTTATTTGCCAACTGACTTCAAGGCAAGTAAATTAATTTTTGATGAACTCATCTTCCCCTTGAAGTGCCTTAGGCTGAGGTGATTGGACGGGGGAGAAATCCTCATTTCTAACACCTAGTATGAAAGGGCATATATATCTTTTTCTAACTTGAAACTTGTGAATATTGTCAACAAAAGAAATGCAACATGGGCTATGCATTCATCAACATGATTGATTTGATCCACAACAGATTATTCCATTCCATAAAGTTTGATATGGGGATTAAATGTTGTGCTTTTCCACATTTACCAAGATTTTTTTTCATGTTAATGTGTTATTAAACCAATTTGCAGGCATTTAATGGCAAAAAATGGGAAAAGTTCAACAGTGAAAAAGTGGCATCGCTTACATATGCTAGGATTCAAGGAAAAGCTGCTCTTATTGCCCATTTCCAGAACTCAAGCTTGATGAACGAAGATAGGCGATGCTGTCCTATTCTTTTTCATACTGATGGCCTGAACACTGGTGATCAGGTAGGTCAAACTAGTGAAGTAGCTCATAAAGAAAGTCTTATCACTTATTTGCTTTGAGGGGAGGGATTGAAATTTCCCTATTTGGGTAACAAAAAAATTGGAAGGGGGGAATTAGAAGGAAACGGAGGGGGAGGGAAATGGACTCCGTTTCCTTTTCTCTCAAACCAAACAGTGCGTTAATGTCTAATAACTTGTCCTACATAGCATGAGTTATTGCATTAACTTATCAAGCACTTTGTGTTACTTCGAATCAGAGTGACTTGTTTTCTTGTTGATGCAGGAGTCCTTTCCCATGGGTACTAACATTCGATCAAAACCCAAAAAGCCTCGAACAACCAGCCCTGAGAAAAATTGCCGATGTAGCTCTTCAACTTCAGCTAAGGGGGAGGAACCTTCCAATGGGGTAGACTCTTGGTCAGGTTATCTTATGGATTCTGATTGAGCTGTCTGCTTTACCAAGCACTAATTGTGGAGTAGCAGTTTTGATAACCCAAATGTGTTTTGGAACTATAGTTTCCTGGCCGTTTCATCTGTTTCTATGAAAATTTTTGTATGAATGGTCGATATGAGCATAGAGAACAGCTTAAAAATGTTCTCGAGTTTATGCATGACTCCAAGGATCCCTGCTGTTCTCAGTTTTGTATACTGATGTCTCCAACTTTAATTTCCTTCTCTTTTGCTTAAGGAAGGAGAGAGATGTGTCATAAAGTATTTTAGTAATTGAATTTTTAAACTTTCTTCTGTTTTTGGCAAAGAAATACATTTGTTTTTCTGATAATAAATGTATGATTCTTTTTTGGTCAGTTGAGATAATCAAACTAATTACAACATTAATTTAAGATTTTGAGGCTGATATCTAAAGAACAATCACACGATTATATAACGTAGCTTTTACAATATAATACAAATTACCAAAGATAGGAAGAATTGAATTGAGTTTTACATACTACTGGCATTTAAAAACAGACAGATTTCATAGATTACAAAACAACATTTATATCAAGCAGATGTGTGGAATCCACCCATTCGTTTTGGTTTAATTTCTTGCCCATTCCAGGATGAGATCCTTTTTGACAAGGTGAACAAAGATGCAGACCCAACCTACACAACGTGTTCCCACAAAGCCATTCATCATCAATAGAAGAGGAGTATAAGGTTTAAGGAGTAATCTAGTTACAAAAATTCTTAACTTGAAAACATATATAGCATATCACTCTAAAATACCCTCTACCATCTTTCTAGACCCTTGTACCTAGTGTAGCCTATCTCAGCAAACACGTTTCAGAAAACAAACCCGTATCCTCACACAAGCATTTCATCAAACACTTGATGTGCATAACCAAAAATAAGCTCAAATCTTCCTGGACTTCTTGCCTTCAAACCCACAAATCATATAAACTTTAACAATCTTTCCCACGGATCGCAATAGATCAACTAAATGACAATAACAACTAATGTAATCGAAATCAATTAACATAAGATCAATTAATTATTCATACATGCACACTAGATGAAAGACGAATTAATTAAACATTAGTGATTATGAGAAAATTGAATCGAATGATAGCTAAGAACATCAACCACAAGATCGATCTATATATATGAACCATGAAAATATTTGGTTTCAAATAGTTCGACAGTGAATTTATGATTAAGAAAAATAAGGGATATTTTGCAGAAAAAAAGGGCGAAAAAAGAAACTAGAGTGAAATATTGCAGTTTGAACATTAATAAGAAAAGAAAAGAAGGCTTACCCGTAGTATTGGATCTCGGCCATTTGATTTTATGCAAGACTTTCCATTTGCAGTCCTCAACAGAAATACACAAAGGGTTGGAGGACATTTTTGGCATTGGGATCGTCCCACTCCAGTGATTCCCATAATTCTTTTGGCTTTATCTCGATTTGCTTTAGAGCAGCAGGAGGAGATGGCCGTAAATTCCCTACCAAGGGAATCCTCTTCAACTTTGGACATTCCTTTATTTCTAATTCTTGGAGAGAATCACAAACCATTACTCCTCTTGTGAGGCAGATTCTCTTCAATTCTGGTAAATTCTCCAACGTCAAATATGTTAATTTTGGAAGAGTGAATGTAGTAGTAGTAGTTGCATCAGCTGTGTGATTTTCCTCTTCTCCTTCCCACCCTATTATTTCCTCCATTTGTTGACAATCCCAAACTCTAATCTCCTCCAAGTTTTGGAGGCCTTGCAGCAGCTCAAGTGAAAACAACCTCTTCATTCTAGAACATTCCCACATCCTAAAGATTCTAAGATTGGAAAAGATGTGAGGCGATGTTGCTTCTACTCCTTCCACATCCACAACAACACTCAAGTTAGGCAACATACCAAGCAATAGCGCTTCAAGGTTATTAATGAAAGATGATGATGATGTAACCATGTCAACCACACACTCTATCTCTTCACACCGAGTAACAAAACAGTTTCTCAACTCAGTTGTTTTTTGGAGAGAATAAATATCACTTAAGCTTCTAAATTTTCTACACCGATAAATCCACAGTTCCTCCACGTCATCTGGAAGCACCACAGTATCTTCTCCACCTATCTCACATTCTCCTAAACTTATTTCTTTAAAGAGATCAATACCAGCGCCAAAGCCGACCTCCACTTGTCCAACCACAAGCTGGTAATTACTCAATCTTTTAAAATGGTCAGACTTGACATAATTGTTCAAGTCTTGCAAGTCATACAATTGAGCTTGAAAAGTCTCCAACTTCTTCAATCCTCTTGCTTCTTCTCCTTTTATCTTTAAAGTAGTCGATCTGGAATATACTGTCAAGTGTTGGAGGTGAGGGAGGTTACAGAGTAGATGTGTCGATAGCTCCACCAATTCTGGACAACATAAATCAAGATATCGGAGATTTACAAGCATTTCAATGCCTTCAGGGACCACCTCAATTCTTGCCCATCTTAGATCCAACTTCTTCAATGCCTTGAGCTTTGCTAAGCAAGGCACATGTTTTAATTGCCCACATTCACGCAAGAGCAATGTAGTAAGATTCTCCAAATTGCAGATGGAATGAGGTAGACTTTCAATGCTAGTTCCAGAAAGATTTAGACACTTGAGCCCTTGCATGTTTGCAAAAAAGCAATCTGGAATTTGGCTCAATTCCCTATTCCCTTGCAACATCAAGGTTGTGAGAATGGGACAATTTGGGCACATGTTTAGAGGAATATCTGAAATTTCATTCTCCATCAAGGAAACCTTTTCAACATTTTCAGTCCAGTCATGCTCATCTGGTATCTCTGTTAGTCCCATACGAGCTTTCACCATAAATTGAGGACTGATGCGCAATGCCATATCTCTCACAACATCATGCATTTTAATAGTGTACTCAGAATAAGCTTTCTCTAACAAACAACTGTTTTCAAGCTTGTTTAACATGGTTCGTCCTTCATCAAGCATTGCTCGTCTACTCCTTGATTCTTTAATAAATCCCTCATCAATCCATTGTTCAACTAGATCATCTTTGCTAATTTGATAATCTTCAGCATATAGTGAGCAAGATAAGAAACAATTTTGGATATTTGAATGTTGCAAACGATCATAGCTGAACTTCAATCGCTCAAATATCTCATCTTCTGAACCTTCGGCTGTAGCTCTTACATGTTCACGTAATTCCTTTAAAGCATGCCTCCACTCATGGACATCAGTTACTCCTTTCATGCTCCCAGCTATTACAACAATAGCCAAGGGTAGTCCAGCACACTCCTCCACCATGGCCTTCCAAATTCCTTCCAATTCTGGAACTTGTAGAATGTCACTTCCCACCTTATCTAAGAACAAATTCAAAGACTCTTCCTCTGAAAGAGGAGACACTTTAACTATTTCACAACCAATGGACTTGCATACATCCACCTTTCTACTAGTAATAACTAGTTTGCAACTGTTTTCCAATGTGGGACTCGGGATGCCAACATCTTTGAGAGTAAACCTCTGCCACACATCATCTAATATCAACACATATTTCACTCTTCCCATTATCTGCATCAATCTTGAAGCCCACCTTTGCTCATCCTCATTCTCTGGGAGGCTTTCATTCATTCCCTTAGCAATTTCATGTTGTAATCTAACAACATTGAGTGGATATGAGACAGTGACCCAGATCACATTATCAAATCTGGACTCCATCAATAGTAATTCATTATGGATATGTTTCATAATGGTGGTCTTCCCAACACCCCCGATTCCACAAACTCCAATCATTGGGACCTCATTACCTTTCAAGTATCCCAATATTTTTTCCTTCACAGTAACCTCGCCTTCTAGATCGTCTACTAGTATAGGCAAAGTAGTTGCAGGCGTATTAACCACCAATCCTTCAGGAAAACTGCCTTGTTGAAGAATTGCATCCAGTACATCAATTTTTTCACGAGCAAGTTTTCCGAGGCGAGCTCGTGAGAAGTATGCAGCATTGTGCACCCTTTTCAAAACATCTTGAATTTCAACATTGATTTTCTTTACATCTTGAAGCCATACCACCACTTCTTTTCTGGCCTGTTTTTTTGAGCAAACCTCGTCTTGTAGCCGTGTTTCTACATCTTCTTTTCTGCCCTCAAGAATTCTCCATTTGTTTCTCAGATCTTCTGCATTTTCTTTGAATTTTCTGTGATTATCTACACAACTTCGTGTTGGAGGTGCTACACACTTTATGATTTCAAAAATTAGTGTTGCAATTTCCGCCATGAATAACGTTCCTGAAATGTGACACCAGTTAAGGTACTTAAGTTTTTGTTTGCTTTAGATAAAGAAAAAAACATATATATGTAAACAATCTTTGTTCCTCCTTCCTATACATATTTACTGACTTGGTGGATTCATGGCCTCATGTTGGGTTATCTAAACAAATTATTTGATTATCTTATGCTCCTTTTTTTTTTCTTTTGCTTTTTTGTATGTATTCCATTGGTTCTGCATGTGTCAAAGATGGTCCATCATACACAAGACTAGGGAATCCATGAGAAATTCCTAGTTAAAATTGAATTGTTTAACATACTAAACTAACGCATATTTGTCATATTATGTACGAGCAAACACTTTTGTCATGGTGAAAGACAAATCAAATATGCACATGTTTAGTAGTGATTCAACCAGAAGTTAAACCTTTCTATACCTCCAAGAGAGAAAAACAAATGAGAGTTGTATAAAAAGTAGTATATACCTGCAGATCAGGTGGCGAAATGGGTTAAGGACGTTGAAAATATGTGGAGCACGAGGCAGAGCAAAGAAGTACAAGAATGGTGCTGGCTGGAGATCTGAACAAACACATAACAAATAAACATAAGAGATGATTAGAAAATAACTAAGGTAGACAATCAGTTATAATTGAATTCCTGTCTTCTCATGCATCAACAACAACAACACAGGACAAAAAAAAAAAAAACCAAAAACTTAACAGTAGATGACATACCGTAAACTAAGGAAGCTGAGAATAAGAGAAGAACAGGGTGAGAAGTGTAAAGGTAGAGCAAAAGAAGCACAAGATTGGCACTGGATCTGAATAAACACATAACAATAACCATAACAGGTTAGAAAATAATTAACAAAGGTAGATCAGCTATAATTTCATTTCATTAACAACAACAATCAGAAAATATAAACATGATCAGTAGATAACATACCTATTGCCTGTAGCTAGACTGAGGAAGCTGCAAAGAGAATAAACAAAGAAAAACTCAGCAGTGTGTAGCTTATTGAGTATAGAAAAGGAAGACCTATATTTTTCTGCATGCAAGTCAAATAGTCAACGTAGAATTGTTGACGCAAAGGGGTTTTGTTTTGGGCATCTTTTTCTTTCCGGTTGGAAGTTGCAAAGAAAAGCAGGACAAGTTAAAAAATGAAAAAGAAAAAGAAAAAGAAAAAGTAGGTGAAATGGAATCCAAAGTTGATAGGCAAAAAGCAATAAAGCATGCAACAGTAGTAACAGTAGTCGTAATTACAGATCTTTGGTGCGTTTTAATAAAGTGAGGAAGACCTTGGTGTCGGCGAGTCAATGTAGAATTATTGATGCAGTAGATGGTTGGATAAAAAAGTATCAAAATTTCCCATACTATAAACAAACAGAAGAATCCAAAGGTGACATCTGTGTATGAAATTTAAAAATAGCGCACTATTTTCTTATAAAATTACTTAACAACACAAAATTTTTAATTTTTAACTTTTATCTTAAATAAAGATTTTAAAATTAAACAATTCAACTAAATTTTAACCAATAAATAACGGACTGTATAGAACAAAGACTGCATTGGAGATTGGATGTTAAAAAATTGTTGATGACGAAACCTTTTAGGTGCGAAAGAGGGAGTATTTCTACTGTTACCATCATTACCATCGCCGAGGGGCAGACGAAAGAACCTCAGAAAAAAATTAGTAAAGAAAGGATATATCCTTTAGGCCCATAAAAAAGGAACATGGTAATTGACATTGTTAAACTTAACCCTATTATATGTAGGCCTTAAATCATAACCCATGTCCGACCCAATAAAAACTAATATTCTGCTCCTACTTTTATTTCTATTCCGTTTAATTTAATCTGAAATCCTTTGCAACAGGGTGCTACCATTATATAAAAAAGTTATCCACGTAATTTTATTTTAGTCATTATTTGTATATGTAATTGTCATTATATCTTTTTACTCTAATTTTTTTTATTTAATTATGTATACTTACAAATATTTTAAGTTAAAATATAGAAAGTGTAACTTAATATTATTATTTGGTACTTCTTTACTTATATTAAGTCCAATAAAAGCCTAATGTTCTGCTCTAACTTTTATTTCTATTCCGTTTAATTTAAGCCGAAACCCTTTTTTTCTCTTCTGATTCCAATGGCTGTAGTTCTGGTGAAAATGCAAGTTTTAATCAAATAACAAAATATGCAACGTTATTGTAACAAATTCATCTCCTACAGTTATCTATGTCCAATGAGTTTCTTGTAAATTCAAGATTAAAAATATTCAATTAGGTTCTAAATTGACAAATGTTTTTTATTTTTTTTAGATTTATCACATTTTCAACGTCTACTACTTTAATCTTTTTATTCTTGGAAAATTTTGCAGTGCATTGGATGAAGACATCAAATTGTGGCAAATTTAGTATAGTGGAAAGCTAAAGTCATTTTCCTAATCTAACTGCATGGTTCGGCGTTTGTCAATACTCAACGATTGATTTCATGATTATATCAGAGTCATTTTTAAGGAGTGCATGTTGGTTGAATTTTTATGGTGCGGTCCGGATTTAACCCAATCCGTATAATTTTGGTTCCATTAAATCATGAATTAGAACCAATCCAAGTAGTACTGGATTTAATCCAATCCAATCCATTGGTTTTTGGATTGATTTGAATTAAACCGTGGATCCTTCACTTAACACTTGATAGTACTCCAAAATTTACTGATAAATTTTGAATTAAGTTTATTGCACCTCCAAGAAGTACCTATATTATTATTCATATTTACAGATTTATTTCTTATTTATTTTCTATTTAAACCTATTAATTTTGTTAATAAAAAAACTTATAAAATTATTAATTGCATTTTTTTATTTTTATTAAAAAAATAAAATAAAATAAGCTAAAGAAAAGAAATCAAGAACAAAGGCAATTTCTTTTAGGCAATTGATCGAATCGTTGGAGTGCATTCCATATTTTCACCTCAAAACCCCAACATATCAATTGAACATAACAAAAAATCTTCCAAAATTAAGAAAACAAGAAACAACCAAGATCACTTCATGACAAAATTGCACCTCTTTTTCATACTTTTCCCCTTGAAACAAACATTGAATCCCGACATTAATTCAAGAATCCAAGAGGAAAAGTAAGAAGCTGTAGATCCAATTGGAGATGACAGGAGAGAA